ACAAGCATAAGGCTTCAGTTAGGCAAGATGAACACGCTCTACAGATCCGCTATGCAACACTGTACCAGAAGTCAACAATAACGTATCCCGCGCTTAAAAATCTGTTAGGAGGGGAGGTCGCATGTTAAGCGCACCTGCCGGAGTAAAAAGTTTTTAAATGTGGTTTGGTCATTAGACAAAATTCTGAGCATCAGACTGTGACAGATGCCCAGGGACTGTAAATTGCAGGGAAGGAAATCTAGAGTAGCAGCCAATGGTCGAGTGATATAAGGTATGTTCTGTGGCTGATATCTATTCAGGAAAGAACTTGCAAAAGTAGAGGAAAGGAAGTGTGTCAAGTTTTACCAGGTCCCTTCTTGGAAAAACCACAATATACCAATACCAATACCAAAAATGTCTCCCATCAACAGACTTAACCGGCAAAAAAGAAGGTCACGCGTCAGTGCGGGACGCAACCAACCCGTGGAATTTCTTCCCTCCACTGACAGCCGCAAACAGTATCATTATGTTCTTATTCGAAGAAGCAATGAGAATCTAAAAGCAATTGCTTTCCCTTGTTTTTCATGTTGATAACTGGCTCCAGATCCTCAGACTGGAACAGGACAACGTGTCTGAGGTCTGTGGGTAGGATCCTTGAGCCCAAAAGGAACGGCCCGGAGCAAAGACAAAGGATGGTGAGGGTGGTAGCTGGAAAGCAGTCTGGCGCTGCCTCCAAGTGAGAACGCTGGACGGAGGCTTGAAGGCAAGCAGACGCCGGCAACGGACTGGGGGAGCGAGACAGGGACTTTGGGGAAAGAGGCCTAGGAAGCCAGCAACTTACCAAATTCTCCTGTTAGGCAGGCCCCGGCACCGACTCCCTGTGGGGGCCACGTCCGTTGCTCAACACCCAGCCAGCCAACATGCCGGTCCAGACACGCACAGGTGAAAGTCCTCAAACGCTAGGGCCAGAGGAGACGGGCAGGCATTCAGAAAACCATACACGAAGAAGACAATTGAGCATCGTCTCATACCCGCACAGCAGAAAACTCTCTGATGCAGGGCGCCTGGATGCCTCGGTCGGTTAAGGGTCCAGCTCGTAATTGGGCTCAGGTCGCGATCTCACAGTTCGTGGGTTCAAGCCTGCCTGAGATTCTGTCTCTCCCTCGCTCTCTGCCCCTCCACCACTTGTGCTGCCTCTCTCTCAAAATAAATAACTTTGTAAAAAAGAATCCTAAAAAAAAAAAAAACTCTGATGAAACTGTGACAAGGATAATGAGGCTCTGTTGAGTTAGTTTTTCCTCCCAAGAACAAAGAATTCCTTTGGGATAAGCTGGGTACCTTTGTAATCCACCGATCTCCTTACTCCCAAGGTCCCTTTCCCCCACAGCATTGTTTCTCATGCTCTCAGGCTCCACAGATCCCCTGGAGATCTTGGCAAAATGCAGATTCTGACTTGTGGCTCTGGACCAGGGCCTAAGATTCTGCATTTCTAGCAAATTCCCAAGTGACCAAGTGATGCTGATGCTACGGGTCCAAAGATCACAAGTTGAGCAGCAAGATCCCAAAACAGGGATTTTTTTTTTTTTTTAATGATCATAGAAGCCTGACAGAAGGCTCTTACCGATATTTTCCAATTTTATTTGAATATACACTAATAGTCTCTGGAAGATACAAAGACACTATCGACAGTGATGGTGGGGCGTGGACACTGGCTGACAGAGAACAGAGGTGGGAGAAATACCATTGCCTATATACGATCTGTACTTTGTGATTCATGAGCCATGTGAAGATATAGCCGCCCTAGAAATTAAATAAATAAATTTACAGCAGGGAGGGGGAAGAAAAACACACCAAGGATTCACTTATTACATCTGGTTTGTTCCTAGGGAGTAAAGCGGGCACCCGTATCATCCGTCTCAACGTTTTGATTCATTCCGTAACGTGGTAAAAGCAAAGCCTGCGCCATTGTGTGGAGAAAGAATTAGCATCCAGGAAGCACTAGGCTTGATCACAAGGGTCCCTCGTCTTGTCCTGCGGGCACTGAGAGTGAGTGCTGTCACCAAGATGTGGGGCGGTTTCAGTGACCAATAACTAAATGGCAGGCTGCATATTTCAACGCAAGCACGTATCTAAGATATAACTCATTAGTAAGATAAAGAAGCCCGTTAAGGTCGCAGCTCCATCCAAGTCACGGATTTTCCGGCGTTAAGCGTCACCAAAGCCAAGCTGTTAGGATCAGGCACAGGACTGACAAGCACACGGCACTGAAGCCTGAGTGGGAAACTGAACACTCGGCTGGAGGGGGGCGTATGTCCTTTAATCAAACCACTGATTTCCAAATACATTTCGGACAGTGATTTCTTCAACTTATGATGTACTCGTAAGCAGAGAACTTGACTAAAAAGAGTGTTAAGGGGGCCGGATATTTACTGGTAAGCTTTTTAATGAAGGACGGTATGCAAAGAGAAGTGCACAAATCAGAAGTTATGTACGGATTGGCGGAACTGGTAAAGGAATCAAGAAACAGAACATGTTCAGAACAGCAGAAAGCACGCCTTGTGTTTCCTTCCAGTCCTTAACCCCCACCCCAAGGTAGCCTCTATTTTGACTTCTAATAGCACAGTAGTCATGTCTGGTTTTGAATGGGACAGAACGGAATCATACCATTTTCCTTGTAAGATTTTAATTAGCACCCTCGCGATCCCCTGTTCTAATCACCAAGTGGTACGTCTTTGTCTCTACGCTCAGAAAGGGGTGGCCGTGCGTATCGGGCTGATTAACTCAGCGATCAGAGTACATCCATAAACCACTGTGTGCTATTTTTTTTTTTTTTCCAAAGGACTGCATGAGGGAACGTCCTGCCCCCGAATTACAATACCTCTCTATAAAAGGACACATCCCAGGACAGCATCTTTATCTCCATTCTCTTTCCAAGTCATCAATTTTAAATTACCAAGTGACCCAGAGGCACTGCAGCTTCCAGGTCCGCAATCTCTTCTGAGTCAGGAAGGAGAGCGGAGAGGATAAATCTTCCACCTGTCAACAAACCCTGAAACAACAATACCCCCGTTAGCCTCGTTAGGAAGAAATTCCATTCTCTGATACTCTGGGGAGGAGAGAGGCTGCAGCTGCGGAAATTCGATTATCTCCTCCGCCGGTGCAAGATGGGGCAAGACCAGGGGTGACTTCGTTTCGGATTTAGTGGGTGACTAAGTGGGGTGCTTGAGGGAGGACTTTGGGGTGCGGGCGCTCTGGGCAGGGAAGATATATAAAGTGGCACAAAGAAGAATTCAGAAGAAAACGCTATACAGGTACTCGATCAAGATGTTGACACAACACAGACTCGGAAATCTATGTAGCATGGGTGTCAGGAATCAGGGCTATTTATGAGCACGCAAAGGATACTGGCTACCGAAAGGAGAGCGGCACTCTGACTCTGCCACTTTTTCCCTCAGAAAATCTCTCGGGCTGAAGCCTACCTCACTCCGTGTCAAACCCAGCAAGACTGAGGCGGGAATAACAGCCATGAGGAGGAACCTGAAGAACAAAAGCCCATTTTACGGTCGCGGGAGAGATGAAAGCTTCCTTCGTGGTCCAGAACAAAACCGTCACGGCTCTAGAATGTAAGGGGCTAAGACAAAATGGTCACCCACGTCAAGTCCCGTTACAGCATCCAGATGCATGTTACAGAGCCCGACGTCTTGATTAGGTGGCACGTGCCATCTTATGTGAGGTCACGAGAACCTACTGGAGGCCGAGGCAACTCGCAAGGCTTTCGGTCGGCAAACCTTCACAGTTGGCATGAAATGAGACGCGTTCCCTGATCTTAGGAAACTCACCCCAGGGTCGCGATGAGCATCACCTGGGAGTGGAGTTGAACTGTGGACGCCCGAGCCCCTCCCCACTCCGGAATCAGGGCCTGCACTGGGACAAGATTCCCAGGTGGTTTACACCCACATGTACACGGGAGACGCTTTGAGCCTAAATGAAGTCTAGTTCAGTTATTCTCAACCCTGGCCACACGTCAGAACATCCTGGAGAATCTGAAAAGTCCTGCTTCCAAGGGGCGCCTGGGTGGCGCTGTCGGTTAAGCGTCTGACTTCAGCCAGGTCACGATCTCGCGGTCCGTGAGTTCGAGCCCCGCGTCAGGCTCTGGGCTGATGGCTCGGAGCCTGGAGCCTGTTTCCGATTCTGTGTCTCCCTCTCTCTCTCTGCCCCTCGCCCGTTCATGCTCTGTCTCTCTCTGTCCCAAAGTTGAAAAAAAAAAATTAAAAAAAAAAAAAAAGAAAAGTCCTGCTTCCCCCTAGAGCAGTGTGTCACAAGAGGAACCTGGGTTCACAACGTGCGGGGGGGGAACAGTGTTGGTGTATTACCAGGATCCGCAGGTAGAGCGGAGTGGTAAGGGCGGCAGGAAAGGCTGTTCCAGGGCGACGTTCAGGTCACTGGAACCAGTAAGGGTTTTATTTGATGGGGAGCCACTGGCGGGTTCGGAACTGGTACTAGCTTGTAAGCCTTCAGGATATGAAAAAACTCAAGCCCTGACCCCATTAAAAAGCAAAAGCAAACCCCTACATATTAACTTAGCGTGGTTAGTCTATGAATGGAGAGTAGAAACCAAAACTTTGTCAGGATAACAGAAGTCGCAGAGAAAAATGAATTAAGGAAACCCACAGGCTGAAGTCCTTACCTGGTGTTGCAAAACAGCCGATCAGCTGGCAGCGTGGGAGGGAACGGCAGCGGGAGCAGGAGAGAGGAGAGGGAGAGAGATTTGGGGAGCGGGAGCGAGCGTGCCAGAGAGAGCGCCCCTCCGTGGATAGGAGGTTATTTACAAGAGAGCGTAAGAGATCGGACACTTCCAGGCTGCTTCTGGGGCGGCGCCCTCCTCCGCCTCCGACACTTCCTTTTCTGCCAGACCTCCAACACTACATCCGTTTTTGCCAGACCCTCGCTAATGTTCCCCTGAGAGAAGTCACTAACCTCAGTTACGTGAGCTCTGGTAGAGTCTGTGTGCATGGCTCCTGTCCTCATCCTGAAATGGGCCAGCCTCCCTTCTCCCTCCAAATCCCGAAAGTCATGATTGTGGCGGGGGGGGGGGGGGGGGGGAGGATGACAGAGCAGAGTCAAAAGAAGCGAGAGATGGAGAAGGGCAGGGTGCGAAGTCTGGGAGATGACTCCCGGAGACCGTTGGTGAAATCCACCAAAGACAGCAAATAGCCTCCAACCCACTTCTCCCCACTTCATAGATTTGGGAAACCGAAACCCAGCAAAGTGACGCATCTTGTTTGTTTGTTTGTTTGTTTGTTCATTTATGGTCAGAAATGTAGAGGTAGTTTGTGGCCAAATCCAGTGTGGAACCCGGGCACTCAATGCACCTGCCTGCCTCTGAGGAGTGCCAAACGCCCTCTTCAGGAGTGACGTTTGCCCCCAGAGAGCCTGACACCCTCCTGCCCTCTGAGCTAGAGTCTGGATGTCTGCCCTTGTCGCTGTCCTTGGAGCTTCTGTGACTAATCCCAAAGATTCTCACTGGAGTCACGACAAATCCAAGAAATCTATGGAAATGTCAGAGGACCCTCAGAGGCTGTGGAGTATAGGGAACTCTTAACTGGTGGAGAAAGTCCCAGAACTTCCCCAGCTTCAAGGACCTGAGTCATTTCAGCAGGCCAGCAGGAAACCCCAAGGAACCAGAATTTATAAGACGCTTCACGGAGGTGGCTGCCAGCCCAAGAAGGTCCCCTAGGGCTTGGCACGATCACATGTTACCTACGGCAACCCTGTACCCCATAAACAAGCCGCAGCAATCAGCATGTCGCCCAGCAGGCTTCACAGACTTGTAAATAACGGCTCCCACAGTCAGGCACATTCTGGCAAGAGCAGCTCGATTGGCTCCCCGAGGCAGGAACCACTCAGGGCCCACCCCCCGGGCACCTACTCTAGCTCGTGCTGCATACAAGCCACTCTCAAATGTGGCGGCTTAAAATAATAAGCATTTATTAATTCTGATTCTGTGGATCAGCAGAGAGGTTCTTGCGCCCTGGCCTGCCTAAGGTGGTCTCACTCCCCTGTCTGCCAGTTGGCAGGGTGGCTGGCCTCAGGGCCACAGCTGGGATGGTTTGTCTGCCCCATCAAGTCCAGCGGGCTAGCCTAGGCTTCTGAGCACGGCGGGCTCAGATTTGCGAAAAGCACCCAGAGAGGGTGGACTCCAGAGGGAGGCCGGAGGCTCTTGAAGATTCCGTTGGTGTCATATCCGCTACCTTCCTTCAGCCAAGTCCAGATTGAGGGGGTGGGAAACTCTCTTGCTGGGAGAAGCAGCAAAGTGAACTGCTGTAGAGAGAGACCGTACAGAGATGGGAGGAGTTTGGGGCCTTCTCTGCAATCGATCCCACTGTCTGCGGCAGAAGAAATACTCTCTAGAAGCGCTTTCTTCGAAGTCCCGTGTGCGTAAACCTTCCCATGAACGACCCACGGCTTCTCTTTCTTGTTTCCCGGTCGCTTGCTTTGCCCCTGCAGTGACTGGGTCCTACAGAGACATCACAATATTCCAGCATGAGAATATTCTAAAAAAACTAGCTAGTAGCGTCCCATATTATCTCCTGATTTATATATTGCATCCACATGCGAGTTATTTTTATCCTCGGGGTCATTCATGCATACAGCAAGTGAAATGTTTTAAAATGCATTGTTTTTCTATTAAAGATATTTTACGGGACACTTTTACTCAGAGAGCCCGCTTTGTGGGCAGCGGCTTTCTGCCCAATGGCAACGTTACGAATTATATTTAGCAAATCAGCATGCTGTAAGACAGCAGCAGACTACGTTAGAAATAGAATGCTTGGCCGGTTGTTTATTGCTTGTATCATATATTTTTCATATATCAACGGGTGGATGTTTAAAGGTCAGGATTGCATTTACACTTGAGTTGTCTAAAATAAGAAAGCCGTAACCGGGAAACTCAACGATCTATTTTCCCGCGCATGCTCCATTTTCTCTCGGGCCACGTCCTCCGGTGCTCAGATAACACACAACCTAGCATGCATCCTGGGCTATGGGAGCCAAAGAGGCTGCGCTGGTTTGTTTTGTTTTTGTTTTTGTTTTAACGTGGCAAGTTCCTAAGAATAATTGGGTTTTCATTGGTGCCGGTGACATTCGATGTATTTAAATTTGGAAAGACCCTGACCTCGGTGTTCCTCCTTTCTGTATATGTCTAGAATTTTACGAAATAGCTCAGTCAAATGCAGCCCATCTATTCCAGTCCTAAAGAGAACAGAGAAAAACCACCAGGGATCTCTTCCAAATGCTGATCTCCTCTTACAAGTAGCTCTCTAGGGAGTGTGTAAATTCACCCTTCTATCGCCCAAAAGTATCCATGGGGCGCCTGGGTGGCTCAGTCGGTTGGGCGTCTGACTTCGGCTCAGGTCATGATCTCACAATCCGTGGGTTCGAGCCCCGCGTCGGGTTCTGTGCTGACAGCTCAGAGCCTGGAGCCGGCTTTGGATTCACACCCTGTCTCTCTCTCTCTCTCTCTCTCTCAAAAATAAAAATGAAAAAAAATTAAACATGCTCTCTTTTGAGCGTAAATATGTCATTGATGCTATAATACAAGGGTTGCCCAACTTTTTCCATAGAGGGCCAGATGACACACATTTTAGGCTTTTCAGGCCATCCGGTCTGTCACAACTCCTCGGCTGTGCTCTTGTAGCATGAAAGCCGCATGGACAATCTGTAAGCACAAGGAGGCTGTGTTCCAATAACACTTTATTTATGGACACCGAATTCTGAATTTCATCTAATTTTCAGCCGTCACGAAATATTATTCTTTAAAAAAAAAAAATTTGCAACCATCTGCAAATGTCAAAACCATCGGTAGCCCTTGGGTTGTACAGAAACAGGCTGCGGGGCAGATTTGGCCAGTGAGCCATGGTTTACCAACTCCTGACCTAGTGCATTAATGAACGGAGCAATCATCTGACAAAGGAAGCAGGGATTTCAGACTGGAGCTCTCCCAACTCCGTTTTGGCATGTCTATTTTCTCTATAAATAC